ATATTGTGATGCATTGTTGCTGATTGGGGTAAATAGATGACGAAGATATTGAAAACAGTATATTTTTTTTTTGCAATGGGTGAATTTATTGAGCTAGGTAGCTTTGCTTGCAAATGCTGAAGTATTGTTTTTGTAACGGTTCTCCATCCAATCATATACTCCCAAAGCACGTTACTGACGTTAATACGTTTCTGCTTACCTAAATAATAGAGTAGTACCGCCAAAACTGGAATATTAAATGCATTATCTATACAAACGGAACTCATACTCATAACCAGGTGACAACCAAAGTTGGGACGTTTTACCATACCTGTAATTTCACGATCACGAATATCGTGTTAGTTTTGATCAGAGATGATGTCTTTAAGCATTTAGACCAGGTCGGGTCAGGTCAGGTCAGGTCAACCGGTAGGGGTTGTGACGGGTATTCGTAATACGTGTCAACCGCCTCTGACAGCTTCGTAACATGTTACGAAGGCACCAAAACTACTTCGTAAATGTTAAAATGATTGCTAAATTCGAATTCAGCTCCAAAAACTAGGCTAGAAACATGTAAAACTCGAAAAGGTGAACCGAGGTCACCCGAGGTCACCAAAGGTCAATGACCTGACCTGACCTTCAGGTGACCTTGACACCCACCCTAATGTATGGGAGCAACATCAAATCACATGTTTGAACGTTTGAAACCACGAAAAGCTTGCAAACGCGCGGCTAATGCGAGCCGACATACGCCGAATCGCGATTCCGGCCAAACATGGTCTCGGAAAAGAGGTCACAGGTCAAAGGTCATTTGGGTCAGGGTCATGAAATTTTCAGGGTAGGTGTAAAATTGATCAATGCGAGGGTACTGAAAGTTTCGTCGCGATCGGCCCCTTTTTACGCGAGTTATTCGCGAAAAACCTCATCAACCCCCCCCCCCCTGTTGCGGCGAAAGATCCGCAATCATAAAATATGGCTCACAGCAGTGCTGAAGCATGAAATACGCAAGCATGACCGGTTATTCAGGCTTGGTCAGCGCCACGACTCAGAAAGACATTCAGTTCAGTTCGCCGCCGATGATAACAGCATGGTCGGGTGGTTCGTTCCGCGACAGGGTCCGGCTGCTTTGTGCGGCTCGGCGGGGCGGGAGGGGGGAGGCAGGCGACGCGTCTGACAGGCGACACTTGAGCGTCCCGGGAATCAGCTGTCACCGTGCGGCGCGGCGGGCCGTCCCTCCGACCCTTCCCATTGTTACCTGACTGGGCGCCGGCCGCCGGTCCTCCGGAAGGGTCACTTTGGTATGCGAACTCTTCACCGCACTTGCCCACTGTCAGAGAGTGTTCTGAGGTACAGTAGTTTCTAACAGCTCGTTCGATTGGTCTGCCTGCTCAGCCAATCATATTCTGGCAACCTTGGACCTTGGGACCCAACGTCGCTATGGTACTTCCGTATAGCCTGAGGCACCTGGGTACTTATGAATCTTGGGTCCCGTTGGATTCTGGGTCCGACTGTACTTGGGTACATTTGATACACAGTACACACCCGTCCCCTATCTCTCTGCGTGTCCACTAACACGAATGACGTCACGCATGTGGGCGGAGCTATGGGCGGAGCCTAACGCACGCGGCAGTCCAAGCCGCCATATTTGAATTTATATTTTAATAGAATCTTGCCGATATTTTGGGTGAAGTCAATTTATATGGATAGCTTGGTGACAGTTTAGCTATACCAATAATAATTTATTATGGATGTGCGTATATTCAGCTTGGAATTGCAATTAAAGTTCCGCACCGCATAGATTCGAACTCGGGACCTTTGGAATACTGCGCGGGCACGCTAACCACTACACTACCGCGACCGCGCGGCGGCCGGCGGCAGGGAGGCTGCGGAGACATGGGGGGACATTTTACGCTTTTGTGAAAAAAGCAAAAGATTTAGCGAAAAACACGTTATAGATAACTTGCAGAAAATTGTCTGCTCTTTTAGATAAGATACTTAAGTTTGATATATCTTGTGCAGATTTCATTCTACAGTGCTTCGAAAATCGCTCAGTAATCCATGGGTTCGCTCCCGTGCCTTCAGCATTACGAAAAATGGCAACAGCCCGTGAGCAGCATCAGCGCTCACGCACATGTTCAAGGAAAACAACGTGTAATGGACTGCTTACGACGGCCCTTTCCACCAATCAGCGTTCGGCATCTCGAGCGCTGATTGGCTGGTAGCAAACGCGTCATATGTGGGTCTCATTTTTTGCGATCAGTGAACGCGTTATTTAATACACAGTGGCCTATGGAGAATGACACGTGGAATTGAAGGTCAGTGTTTTATTGCTTCGTACATGCGAATGGGCGTATTTGAGTGGCATTTGACACCATTTTCGAAATTTACAGTGAATTTCTGATCGACTCATGTATATACTTTTATGAATTTGACAGTATTAGTGCTACATAGTCGGTGTTTTATGTTGGTGTTGTTTCTCTCGACCTTTGTCTTGGGCTCTTATCATATCTTTTCTCGAAAATGCTTGCCATAACTAGGTCTAAACTGTATCTGTATAAAGGAAATATGTGTTGAATATGAGGAGAAAGTAGTAATGACCATTCTGCCTATCAAACTGCCAGAAGGTGTGCTTGTAAGGTGATTGAAACTGCAGTACGGGTTGCAGATGTGGGTTTGACATTGGCATTGTTGTTATAACCCTACTTGCTCTAATAAAATGGCAACATGGGGTTATTTACACACTATTGCACAGCCTGGTATCAAGCTGGTTGATATGTGGAGGATAATGAAAGCATAAAAAACTTTTCTTAAGTGAATAGGAGTGTTGCGTCTTGTGACTTATGTCAAGTCATTTTAAATCAAATGATTGTGATTGTAAGTTTAACTTCAATTATTATTGCGACTTTTGCTCTTTTTAATCATCAAGTTTTATGTGTACCAATTTCATATGCCTTTGTTATGTCTGTGCGGCTTTGCGCAGTGTGCGTGTCTTGAAACAAACCAATAATTATTTTGTACCTTTTTGTACTTCAACAAGTGTATGTCAAAGGACAAAAATGTCATGTCTATTATCATTGACACTACTACAGCTAACTATGCCTTATTCCTATCTTTCAGAGGCATTCAATTCAATCTGCTTTCCAGTGCAGTACCTAGGAGGCTGCAACTGAAGCTCGCACAAAGGCAATCAAGTGTCACTTCATCAGCCTACAGCAACAGCCCATCTGTAATCAAGATATGGATGAAGTGGCATAGAAGAACAACCAGTTCAAACATGAAAAGATGCGTTTTGTTTTGGACTATTTCTTAGCATAACAGAACAGCACACTTGCTGCTTTTTATGTTTGCCCTGTGTGCAGTTTTAAATAATTTTAACTATGAAATGCTTTTGCCAACTCTTCTCTTTACATAAGCTTCCTTTGTCATGCATGTGTAATTTTGAGTTTACATGCATGATGTAGGCATATTTCCCTTGGCTTCATTAAACTACTTTGCAAGCTTTTGTTATTGGACATTGGTGGTACCTATATTATATGATGCTTCAGATGTGTCCAGTAGTTGATGAAGGGAGAAGAGGAATAGGACAGCTGATAGCTATTGCCAAAAATATGGGCTTGTCTGCACGTCGGGCTGTTCCATCATATGCAACCTCTATTTACTTCCTTGAGTTAAAAACACCTCATCTTTTGTTTATTTCATGTGTGGCCATTGTTTCCGTGGTGCTATAAACGTCAAGTTTGAAGTTGGTATCCAAGTGAGCAAAATGTGCATTATTTCAGTCCGTCTTGAATCATTCGTCTTGAATTATATCCCTAACTGACATCCTGTTATTTGTCCTGCAATGTCTGTGCCTGTGTCCGCCCTTACCTCCGGCTCCAGTCTCCAACCAGACCTGCTGAGCTCTGTCGCCGGCGCCGTGTTGGTGTGTTACAACGTGCTGTTTCTCCACTCCAGCCGACAGCTGCTAGGAATCGTCCTGTGCCATGCGCCATGCGACACAGCAATTGTAAGCTGCAGGTCACATTCGGACTGATTGGCTCCGCATATGTGCATCCGGCCGAGTGCTGGTCGATATCAGGGACGTGGGTCGGACTGTTGTGGCGGCGTGCACTGTGCTGGTTGAAGTTGTTGTATTTCTGTTAGTGAAAAGCATTAATACATAACCATGGCCGCAGCCCAATGTTATTGTGGATTTCAGAGGGAGTGGCCAGTCAGGAGGGCCCCATGTGGGTATGGATCCAGTGTCCAGTGGGATTGGCTAAGATTTCCGGCGATTGATATAAACGCTTCTATGATGATAGTAAACCTAGTCCTATTGAGTTATGAGGGGAGGTGACGTGAGGGACCTGACCTTACTAAACTCTTGTGAAAACACGACACATACGAACGGTAAGAAACTGACAGCTATTCTTTCTGCCAAGTGTCATCTTTCTGTGAAGGATATCTTGGCACTGAGTGTTCAGAAATTGCGTTGTTTTTGGACTGTGTAGAGGCTCACGAGCGACAACATAGGTCAACAACCTGACGTACCTTAAATATGCGACTTGTACCAGAAGATCCAGCTTGATCAAAAGATTGGACATGTCAAATTTCAGCTCTCTAGCTCAAAAGAATTTTGAGCTGTCGTAAAAACCGTCAGTGTGGCACCATATTGCCTCCCCGCGCGGTCGGAAGGTAAAAGTTCGCTGGCTCTAACTAAACAAATAGTCGTCGTATCGCAAATTCAATGACGGCGTTCGAAGCGTCGTTCAATTTACTTTCGAAACATATCCTAACATTAACATTTAACTGCCTAGCGCAATCTCCAACAAGCAAAAGTTCCGTGCATTCATCCTCATACAGTGTTAGCGGCCGCCGGCCGCCGGCCGCTGACCCACATTCGCGTCATCAGGGAATGCCGCAACTAATTTATTGTTTCCTACTTTTTTCCCGGAGCGTTCTACCTGGTTTATATAGCCTTGCCTGGTATATAGGGCCTTGGTAACACTGAACTCGCGCGTAAACATCGAGAAATGGCGTCGGTGGTATTTCGTTGTACGAGGCGAGATTATTGTACGATATACGGCCTTGCTTGCTTGCTTGTACGAAATACGGTTGGTATAAGTGTGATCAAGGCCGTATAAGTGTGATCAGAGTGTGATATATCAAAAATTATTGTCCATTTCAGTGTTTCCATGATGGTTTCCAGTGGCGGATCCAGGGGGGGGGGCAAAATGGGCATTTTTTTAAATTTAGTCCGAACCTTTTGATGGGAAGGATTCACAAGGACAGAGCCACCGCTAAGCGAAGCTTGTTGCGGTGACCCTGCCCTCTATCCTCAGATCGCGCAATTCCAGTTCTATGGCAGAATTTAGAGTCCAAAGTTTAACGTGCGCACACAGCCGCACACGGCCGGTCCCTCACTGACTTCACCTGGCTACGGCCTGCCACCAACCGCAACCATACCTGTCAGGAGGCCCATAAATGTCAAGCGCCCGTCGCGCTTCGAACCCGGACTGTTGTAACCGGGAACGCGTGCTCTCACCACGCGGAGTCCAACGCTCTACCAACTGAGCTACGGGATTTGCCCCCCCCAAACGGCATAATTTTAACATTACGCCTATGGACGATGCATGGAAAGAATCGATAAATTTTATGGTTTGCACCCCCAAAAACTCTGAGCTGGATCCGCCTCTGATGGTTTCCACGTTATTTAGCATGGAGAAGTAGATTCTCACCATAGAAAATATGTGATTTGATAGGCAAAGGTCTTCAAAATCACCAGCCTTGGTTGTGTTGTTAGCTACCCAGTGGTGTGGCAGTGTATATGGGTATATGTTTTAGGGCCTTGTTAGTGTATATAAATCGTATAAATACCTAGTAAGCATAGTAGACTAGCTGCCACCTTATAGGAGGTATCTTACACTAGGTATCTTACAGGTCAGTCTGAGTCGGGGGAGATTTGGTCAATCGTCATTTTTAGCACATGCCATTGTTGGCAGCTATGTGCCAAAAATGACAACGCTATCAGCTATTTTTGGCAACGATGAAGCCGATTTCACTCCTCAGCGAGGAAATCACGACTTTGGAAATACAAGCACTGATTTTGGAAAAGAAGTGCTGCCACCTGGTGCAAGAAGAATAAACCAGCTTTAATCTGGCCATTGTTTGTATGGTAGTTAGTCCAACGTTGATGTTTACACTTTTTGTGGCCTGAAATTGGAACTTCAATTTGCAGCTTCCGAAAATGATCAATATTGATCAAAAACATAATTTTGATGACCAAAAGAGAATGGTTGCCATTTTTGGCACATGTGACAAAAACAGGGGCGGATCCAGCCATTTTCAAAGGGAGGGGCCAAAACCGGCCACTTTCCGAGCCCATTCAAAACTCCAAGCTGAGGCTTAAGGCCTGGCTACACTATGCGTTTTCTTCGTGCGTTTTTTGCGTGTTTGCGTGTTTTGCGTGATATCGTTCTAGAAAAAAGAACGATATTACGTTTTTGTGATGTTTTTCACCTTAAATTTTAGTTACATAAGAGTTATATTAGCTTTTGTATATAACCAAAGTAAAAATTATATTGTTTATAACTTTTTTCCTAGAACGATATTACGCAAAACACGCAAACCTGCAAAAACGCACGCAGAAAACGCATAGTGTAGCCAGGCCTTTAGGGTGCACATATTATAGAGTTCAGTGGGGTGCACCGATTACCCACCCTACCCCGAAAAACACGCTACATGGTAAGTTTAACCCGCGCCCTGCTGGAGCGCGGGTTATTTCTGGCATTCCTGGTATTTCTGGCAAATATGATCATACATCTTGTCTGCATATGTGTAAACTTCAGACCGAGGGCACTCAAGGTCAGGTCGCCAGGTCACGTAAAGTGACCTCACCTCATAAAAGGTTTCCATGTCTGCCATAGAGGCCTCCACGGTGACGTCACAAACTATTTTTCGTAACTGGCAACGCTGACTGGTAGGCAAAACAAACCGGGCGATCGCGGCCATTTGCACTGGCGTCTCGTGGTTTATCGGATTGTGAGAGCTGTTTTCGATAGTTTTTTCTCTAGTTTGTGTTTTTGTTCGTGATGTACGACTCCTCACGATACAAAGCAAAGCTCTGCCTGGGAGAGAAGGTATTTCCTGATCCGTACAAGATCGATGAGGCCTACTGGATCTCGGACAGTTTCGAGAAGCTCCCACTCGTGCTGTTTCCAGATATATTTGCGTATCTGGTCTCCACTTCTGGCACTTTCACGTCCGACAACTTGAAAGCTTTCAAGTCACTAGATGCTTGGAATGTGTTTTTGTCTAGTCATGTTGGCCCACTCAAGCTCTGCTCAGTGGATACCAGTGGTGTTTTCGTGAAGGCAGAGGTACAGGCCAGTCAGACGGCTTCAAAGTCGTATAATGCATGGGTGCTCTGCCACCCCAATGGCAGTGTTATGTCTGCCCACTGCCAATGCATGGCAGGACTTGGAGAAGTGTGCAGCCATGTGGCAGGTGTGCTCTACAAGATCCAAGCAGCCGTACTCCACGGACTGACAGAGAATGCACCAACAAGCAAGGCCTGTCAATGGAATCATCAGACAGCTACGAAGAAGGTGGAGCCCAGCAAGGTCCTTGACATTGCAGCAGACATGGGCATTCCTGCCAAGCGAAGCAGCGTCGAGTTCATCATGTCTGATGCTGCATTTCAGACAGAGCTGCAGGATCTGCCTGCTGGGTGTGCGCTGCAAAGCTCTCTGCCAGTCAGTGGTGATGTTGTGGATGGCAGGACTGAGCTGCCATATCCCATCTACAAGATGTTCTCCATCTTGAAGAAGATAGCTCCTAGTGATGCTGAGCCATCGAGGAAGTACTGTGAGATGCTGGTTAACAAACTGAAGAAGATGTACCCGAGTGATGTGATAGGGAACGTCGAGCGAGCTACTGTGGATCAGGGAGGATCGAAGGAGTGGCTTAACCAGAGGCATGGAAGGGTGACTGCTTCAGTGTTTGGTGAGGTGGTGAGCCATGTCGAGGGGGGACGACAGAGTGCATCATTGGTGCGTAAGATCGTGGAGCCAGCGTCCTGTAAGCTTACAGTGCCTGCTGTAGTCTGGGGACATACACACGAGGCAGATGCTTGTGTTGCTGTAGAAGGGGTTCTGAGCTCTATGCATAGTGAGCTGACAATTCGTAAGTGTGGGCTGTTCGTCAGCCCTGACCACCCCTACCTGGCTGCCTCCCCAGATGGTATCATTGAGTGTGCATGCTGTGGGACATGGGTTCTGGAGGTGAAGTGCCCCTTTAGCCTGAAGGACAAGTCTCCGCAGGAGGCTGGGTTTCTAGATGAGAATGGGCACCTCAAAGCAGAGCACCCGTACATGATGCAGGTGCAGGGACAGATGATGGTCTGTGGGCTAAAGTCATGTGCATTTTGTGTGTATGTGCCGGGGCAGAAGCCCCATGTTCTGGTGATAAAGTACATGGAGAGCATGGGTGACTACCTGGTGAAGGTTCTTGAAACCTTTTATGTGAAAGAGATTGTGCCAGCACTCCTGAAGTGATGTCATAGCTAGCGACTGTGCCGGGTGCCCATTAGTGCACATGTAGGTTGTTCTGTCACTGACACCAGATGGTCGTGTTGATTTTGCTATGCTGGCTGCATTGATCATCATTGTCTGGCTGACAAATATATCTTTTGTGCTAGCTTATCTTTATAACAAGGGTTTGGGTTATGGCGTGATGCTGGTGCTACAGGTGATGCTGATTACGAACTATAACATCTGTTTGTGACCTCACACAAATCATTTGCAAGTCTGTTTTATTCATCAACAATGTCACTGTCATGAAAACAAACTCAATTGAGTTTGTTTTCAATACATGATCGGAGCATGTTACCAGCACTTAGTACCATCTAATCATGCATTCCATGGAGTTTTGGGGCATCTCACGGAACCACACTTGGATGCAGGTTTATGATACCTGCACACACACAAACAACATCATCTACCTGCGTGTACATGGTGACTGGCAATGTAGACTTCAGAATGCGAAACTTCGTTCTCATTCTACCAATGACTCTTTCAACATGGATTCTAGCTCGAGACAAAAGCCTAGACTTCTCTACTTCTGCCCTAGGAAGCTGGGCTTGACCACGAACAAATGCTGGTGTCAAAACTTTGAGATTGTACAGAGCCATTTCTGTAGAAACGGTAAACCCCCGGTCCGCCAACACCACATCGAATGGATCAAGGATGTCAATGAGCTCAGATGACAGTGTGATCTTTTTGTCTGATGATCGACCTCCCCAGACTGGAGACAAGAATGTAATTGCCCCAGCTGGTGACACACCAATTAGAACCTTGCATGTGTTATGGTGTTTGTAGGAACTGAACATTTTCTTTCTGGATGTGAGATGCCTTGGCCTGTCTGTAAAAATTTCAAAGCAGTCAACTACCACTCTGACCTTTCGAAGTTCGGGATAACGGAAGCAGAGAGGGAGGTTGGCCTGTATGCTTTCCCTTGATGGCCAGATGATGAGCCTCCTGCACATTGCAGCCATTGGACTGAGGGTTCCTTGAACGATCTTTGATACCAAGGACCTGCTTACACCAAAACGCCATGCAAGATCCTGATTGGTTGTCCCAAGCCTGAGCTTCATCAACACCATAAGAACCATGTTGTGCACAGACAACCTGGATATTTTGCTAAGGTCGCACCCCAGACAAAGAACCCTTACAAACCACATGAACATTGCTAGGGATGGGAACCCGGTATAAAATTTAAATTCCTCTTCATTCTCTTTCAAAGTCTCAAATGAGTTATGCTTTTTGCTGTTCAACAGCTGCTCACACTCCTCCTTCAACGATGTGACTTCAGCCTCCAGCTTATGAATTCTATCAAGTAGAGCTGAGACGACTGTCTTGTGGTTTTCTCCCCATGTACCATCAGTATTGCAGCCAACCTCACGGGTGCCAGTTGCTGCTGACATCTCCAGCAGTGCCTCTGCAGCTCTGGTCTCTTCAATGCTGACCTGCAAGATAACAAAAAGTAGGCATTGTTATCAACAAAATAGAGATAGTTACCTACTTCTTGGTGCCAGGAAAACTGGTTGAACTGGTAGGTACCTAAGTAGCCAATGTTTGTAGCTCACCTGAGACACTGGTTCTTCGGCTGTACACATTTCATCTTGATCTCCAGATGAAGCCGACAGGTGGAGAGACGCATGCTGTTTCTGAGCTGATCTTTGTTGGGCCCTTTCTGCTCTCTTCACTCCGCCGATCCCAACGTTGCTGGCATGCTGAGATGACGGGAAGTTGAAGACACTTGGTACCCAGTCAGGACTCCCTTTCTCACTGACTGGTGCCCCTGTAATTGAATAAATATATCAAAATTTGTCTAGGTGGTGGATCAACTTTCACTCACAAACCATAGACAATATGTTTGATAGCCTGAGATGCCATGCAAAAATATTGTGGCATTTTGACTCCACAATTATGTATGACGTAGAAATGACATTCATATTAAACATGTACACAGTTTTTTTTTAACTAGGTACTCACCAGTGATAAAATGCTTAGAGCATATCCTTGCCCCAGCGCCGGGCACAAAGTTTTTCCTCCTGGTAGCACGTACCCAAGCATTCAACCGGTCATTATCTTTGGGGAACCGATAAAAAGACACCTTATCTTTTCCAGAGCGAGAAGTGCAACCATAAGCAGCACAAGAAGTCGGCATTTTTCACGATAAAACGTGATTAACCTCCACCATCCTCTCGAATTCCCGCCGCACCCTATAGTGGCGCAACGCCTACCACGGAATGTTTTGCCTACCAGCAGCTGACTGCGCCCGGCGGCATTTTCCGTGACGTCATCCACCGGCCTCCGTGGAGGCCTCTATAGCTACACCGAGTGAAAGATCGCTTTGAAACTTTCAGCGATTGATAAGAGCAACCGTATGTACCAAATTTTCATCTCGAAATTCTGACATCGGTGACCTAAGGTCAGGTCAATTTTGCGACCTCTCCGTTATAAGTCCATGGAAGAAAATGAAAGGCGCCTGTTTTGGACGAATGCCATTCAAAATACTTTAAAACACCGAATTACAAAGTAAACATGCCACGATGAACTGGAAAATGGCTCCCGTGACCCCTCTTTATGTCCCTTAGGTCATCTCACGTCACGAAAGGTATCTAACAGTTCTTCGCGAATAACTTTTCATAGAGGCATACTAGAGCGATGAAAACGCCTTAGGTGTATTCAGCTCGACGATACGGATCGACTGAAGGCAGCATGACCTTTTCCGGTCAGGTCATGGCCTTAACCTGAGGTCAAATTTTGAAGTTGGCTTTTCGAGGTCAACTTATAGTTCATTCGATGTTTCTTGACGAGAGGAACACGATGCCGGTAGAAGTGGTGGACGGTAAAAACAGGGCGCCTGGCGCGATTTGATCAAGACTTTTGAAATTCACTTGGATAGAGCACGTGACAAGTGGCGTGTAGAAGGAATAGGGAGGGGAGAACTTCTTGATGGTCAATTGACTGTAGGTATATACGCTCCGGCGTCCTGTTTTCACCGTCCACCGTAAAAGTGACCTCGTGCCAGGTTTGAGTCAAAATTTATTGCAGAAAAACTTTCCGCAAAAATCGTCTATTTTGCCAGTTTTTCCCCTGCAGGTAAAACCGTTGTCCTTGGGTCAAATCTGAAAGAATTTTCCAGAACGAGTGCAAATAGGGCTATAAAATACGCTTTTCCGGGGCACTGTAACTCTATTGGTTCCCGAGTTATGCGCCGGTTTGTTGAAACTTGTTGACATTCAGCCTGAAAATTTGGCCTTCGATGACCTATGGGCTCTAGTGATCTGATCTTTGACCTGACCAAAATGTGACCAGATTAAGTTCGTCATTATTTTGACACTCTTTCGAACGCTGCCTTCCCCGTATCGCTACATGGCCCAGGAGCCGAGTTAGAAGGGGGGGGGGTGTTCAAACACCCCCGCCCCCCAGCATAGCGTGGAAATCCAGGAGCCCCAGCAGCATAAGTAATCATGCCGCTAAGAAATTTGCGATTCTGTCATTCCTACCGAAACGTCCACCTCTCGACTCAACGTGCTACGATAGGGCCACCACCCTATTTGTCACATGTTGCCGATCGCATAGGCGGCGGAACGGGGAGGGCACCGGGGCGCCGTGCCCCCCTTTGATTTTGCCATTTTAACATTAGTCCTATGGGCGTTACCTGGAAAGAATGGGACCAAAAGTCGGCAGTGTCCCCCTTTAATTGAAGGTGTTCCGCCGCTACTGGCCGATCGCGTCCCAGAGGCGATTTTACAGGGGTGAAATCAGTTGCAGAAAGGGGGGGGCAAATCCCATTTTGGCCCCCCCCCCCCTAAACCTGATTTTGGCCCAGTTGGCCCCCCTTGGATCCGCCAGTGGACAAAAATAGCACGTGCTAAAAATGACAACAATTGACCAAACCTCCCCCGACTGAGGTAGGTTGTTTGTGCTGAGTTCCCATGTGCCGTGCCAACTGCCATGTGTGCAAATTACGGACGCATGCTGTATGCATGCATTCCTACTTGCCATGCATGCAGATATGTCAAACTGGGTGCATCTCGGGCGTGCACCCGTCTTTGCAGTGGGGCTGCAAGCCCCCCCCCCTCTCCCTGGATCCACCAGTGCCAATGTGTGGTCCCTTGAGTAACCATTTATGTTTCATGATTCCTTATCATGTAGGCACCTACCATCAACTTTAAATAATGTTGATGTTTGCTTTCAGATTGTATCTGATTGTTTACTTCCAAAGAAGCTTCTCATACTGCAATAATGGCTGACGAGGAACAGGTGAGAGTGAATTTTGGGTAGGTACTTAGTTTTAGATATTCACATAGCATAGTGTAATGCATAGTGTTATTGTACAAAAATAGTGTTTGTATCAATAAAGTTGAGTAGGATCTGATTGCCCATTGGTTACTTAGGTGTGGGTACTCCTCATCGATTAGGAATGGGTGGCTGCTGTATGATGAGCTAATTGAGAAACAATGCTGTTGCAGGCACCAACTGTGACTGTCGAAGAGCCACTGGATCTCATTAAACTCAGCTTGGATGAGCGGATCAAGGTGAAGATGCGCAACGAGCGAGAACTCAAGGGCCGTCTGCATGTGAGTACATGTGCGAGCGGCTCGCCTATTTCTGTATTGCTTCAGCTTTGTATCTCAGTGCTTTATTTTAGTTCTGCTTTGCATATGTTTTCCTTTCATTTCTTCTTTTGTAACTTGGTAACCTTAGTGCATAGTCATCTCAAACACTTGTTTTATTGTATGATCTATGGTCCATCACTATCTATCTATAATATATCTATTCTGTACTGGCTTGCTGGCGTATTTGGCCGTTACCCGGCCTGTAGTGTTGTACTGCCAGGCGGCTGAGCTAACGGGTGCGGACGGACGGCGGCAGGGCTACGACCAGCACCTGAACATGATACTCGGAGACGTCGAGGAGACGGTCACCACCGTTGACATCGACGAGGAGACCTACGAGGAGGTGCACAAGACCACCAAGCGCACCATCCCCATGCTGTTCGTGCGCGGCGACGGCGTCATTCTCGTGTCGCCGCCGATGCGCGCCGGCATGTAGCGGCCGCGCGCGTGCTGACATCTAGCGGGGAGCGGTGCGAAGCTTGGCCCACCGGACAGCAAGGGGCGGGGCGGTCTAAGCGAGACATGTCTCAGTCTATATTGTTTTCATTGTCATTGGAAGAGCATCATGCACTTGTTTATCATATGCCTTCATTTCTTTGTGGCTGTTTGGATTCGCGTTTTGATTCGCTGGGCATCGAGGGTTAAAATGGAGCGAGCTCGACGAATAAAGTAAGAATTGCCTGCATCAGTTCACATACCATGGTTGAATGTGCTTCTTTCCAGCTTCAACCTCGTTGATCGATTCTGATAGCTTCATCAGAGGGTACGGGTGTATGTTGTTTTATGTTCTTGCGTAACACATTATTATGATAACAATATTACAGGCGAGATAATTTATTCATCCACATCATTTCTTACATAGTGATCAATTTTTTACTCACTGAACTGGAAAGCATCATCAAGTTTTTATGTTGCATAAAAAGTTGCTTGACGTACCATGTGTTTGGCCTACTGCACTTGATAACTGATAAAATATGAGACTCTTCATGCTATTATTGCATACTTTACGTGTAAGCATAACAGTTTTTCATCGCACAGGCTGGAAGACTTAGAAGATTCCAGGCACCGTAATATACATGTGTAATGAAGAACAAAGTCAGCTATTGGTGATATTGTTTTATCTCTGTGTCCACTAAGTCATTAACGTCGCCACGGGGGTGGGGGTGGGGGGCAAGCGGGGCAGCTTCCCCCCCCCCCCCGACACTCTGACCAGGCACCCCTGAGATTGATATAGATCCGATGAGATTTAGGAGTCGGGGAAAAATGGGATGTACTTTTCTGAGAATGCCTGAGAGGTCGGACCCGGTCGGAGCGTGCAGTTCTAGCCAGAGTCGGAGTCGGAGTCGCCAAAATCTGGAAGATCCGACTTCAGACTTGGATATGTCAATGCTGTGCTTCAATCCACGTTCCTAGTTGGTTCTTTGTTACATTTTACAGCTGATTTTCATAAGTTTTGAAAGAGCTGACACAAAACTTTACTCAAAGCGTGACAAATCTTCGAGGCCATGTTTCGGGGTCTTTCTCAACTCTGGTAAAATGTCTGCGACAGATTCAAGTACGGTTCAAGTGCCGCAGGGCTCATGAGCTTGCCTCTCACGCAGGCCCCTAAGGAGCTCCACTGAGCTCTAAGAAGCCTAAGAAGCCCTGGCTAGCTTCAGAGGGCCCCAAACCGGCCTCTGAGAGTCCCACTGGTGCCCATTCTTTAAGGATCTTATACATACGTAGACCTCTGAAGGCCCACACGGATCTGCCTTCAAATTTTTTTTAGAACCTTAACTGGCCTCTGATAGCTCAGCCGAGCCCTTGTGGCATCAGATCTTGCTGACCCCAAGCCGGCAGCTGAGCGGTCACGACTCACGCACGTGCCTCTGAGGGTCCCACATGTTTCTCATATCCCTACGTAGGGTCCTTTGGGATTCGCCACAGACCTCGATGGTTCGCACTGTTATCTGAGGGCTCCAGGCTCACCCCGGGGCCTAATCTCTTAGCGCCCGCCACTCACACTGGCTTCTGAGGGTCCCACCTTGGGCTCGGAAAGCCCTAAAGCCCCACATACGCGTAAATGTTTTAGGTGATCCACGCCGATCTCCGGGATCCTAAGCAGGCTTCTGAGAGCCCACATTGACCCTGAGTGGCCTACAATGGCCTGAGAATCCCAAGCCTACCTTGAAGGCATCCCTTACCGTAATGCCGTGTACATTTTGTTTCGCGTTTGCATCGCTTCCCTACTCACGAAAAAAGGTGAGAATGTGAACAAAACACTTCCTCTCACTGGAGCAAAGATGAATGACTTCCGATTAACATTTCTGACATTCATTCTCCGCCGAATGTCCAACTTAGCTACTATCGGCAGCTGGCATAAGCCCCATGCATTTCACGTAGAAACTCTGCATGCGTGGATGGGTCGGCATTCGTTTAACCAGTGGCGGCGGAACACTTTCAATTAAAGGGGGGGGGGGATCAACGCCGACTTTTGGTCACATTCTTTCCATGCAACGCCCATAGGGCTAATGTTAACCCGCGCCCCACTGGGGGGGGGGGGGGCTATTCATAACCCCCCTTCCCGTTTTTCTGCAGTAACTTCTAAACCGCTTGACATATCGCCGCCAAACTTTCAGTACCTTCGGCTGCATCAATTTGACACCTTGTGTTAAAATTTGAACTTCGTATCTATCATAGGTCGGCCGGAGATGACGTCAGAGTGACGTCATGCTCGGCCGATTTCGACGCAAAACATTGAACCACGGGAATCGCTCCCAAGAGCTCAGTTTTTGAGCTAGATCCAATTTTTTTTTGCATGAGAGGACTCAGAATGGACTGCACTATCAAACTGCTATCTCGGATTCTCAAAATTTTGAAAATTTTGGAAATAATATATGTTAAAATTCAAAATTTGTATTTATCTTTTTTTCAAAAACTTTTTGACTTTTCGAAAAACCTGAATATATAGGTTTAATAGAACACATGCTTATGACACGTCTGTCAAGACAGCCTCAGATTCAGATTCACTTTCAGAATCACATTCGGACCCCCTTAGATTTTCATAAAAAACTGGTCCATGGGTACAGTTTTGGACGCTGATTCCAACGGTGAAGTCTGTTTTTCGCCACATATTATACTTTGGCCCCTAGAGGCATTCAAAGTTTTTTTGGGGCGAAGGGGGACCCCCTTAAATTTTCATAAAAACTGGTCCATGTGTACAGTTTTGGACGCTGATTCCAGCGGTGAAGTCTGTTTTTCGCCACATATTATACTTTGGCCCCTAGAGGCATTCAAAGTTTTTTGGGGGAAGGGGCCCCCCTTAGATTTTCATAAAAACTGGTCCATGTGTACAGTTTTGGACGCTGATTCCAATGGTGAAGTCTGTTTTTCGCCACATATTATACTTTGGCCTCTAGAGGCATTCAAAGTTTTTAGGGGCGAAGGGGGACCCCCTTAGATTTTCATAAAAACTGGTCCATGGGTACAGTTATGGACGCTGATTCCAATGGTGAAGTCTATTTTTCGCCACATATTATACTTTGGCCCCTAGAGGCATTCAAAGTTTTTTTGGGGGGGCGAAGGGGGACCTCTTAGATTTTCATAAAAACTGGTCCATGTGTACAGTTTTGGACGCTGATTCCAATGGTGAAGTCTGTTTTTCGCCACATATTATACTTTGGCCCCTAGAGGCATTCGAAGTTTTTTGGGGCGAAGGGGGACCCCCTTAGATTTTCATAAAAACTGGTCCATGTGTACAGTTTTGGACGCTGATTCCCATGGTGAAGTCTGTTTTTCGCCACATATTATACTTTGGCCCCTAGAGGCATTCAAAGTTTTTTGGGGCGATCCCCGGGCGAAGGGGGACCCCCTTAGATTTTCATAAAAACTGGTCCATGTGTACAGTTTTGGACGCTGATTCCCATGGTGAAGTCTGTTTTTCGCCACATATTATACTTTGGCCCCAAGAGGCATTCAGATTCACTTTCAGAATCACATTCGGACCCCCTTAGATTTTCATAAAAACTGGTCCATGGGTACAGTTTTGGACGCTGATTCCAATGGTGAAGTCTGTTTTTCGCCACATATTATTCTTTGGCCCCTAAAGGCATTCAAAGTTTTTTTGGGGCGAAGGGGAACCCCCTTAGATTTTCATAAAAACTGGTCCATGTGTACAGTTTTGGACGCTGATTCCAACGGTGAAGTCTGTTTTTCGCCACATATTATACTTTGGCCCCTAGAGGCATTCAAAGTTTTTTTGGGGAAGGGGGACCCCCTTCGATTTTCATAAAAACTGGTCCATGTGTACAGTTTTGGACGCTGATTCCAATGGTGAAGTCTGTTTTTCGCCACATATTATACTTTGGCCCCTAGAGGCATTCAAAGTTTTTTGGGGCGAAGGGGGACCCCCTTAGATTTTCATAAAAACTGGTCCATGGGTACAGTTTTGGACGCTGATTCCAATGGTGAGGTCTGTTTTTTTCGCCACATATTATACTTTGGCCCCTAGAGGCATTCAAAGTTTTTTTTTGGGCGAAGGGGGACCCCCTTAGATTTTCATAAAAACTGGTCCATGTGTACAGTTTTGGACGCTGATTCCAACGGTGATGTCTGTTTTTCGCCACATATTATACTTTGGCCCCTAGAGGCATTCAAAGTTTTTTTTGGGCGAAGGGGGACCCCCTTAGATTTTCATAAAAACTGGTCCATGGGTACAGTTTTGGACGCTGATTCCAATGGTGAAGTCTGTTTTTCGCCACATATTATACTTTGGCCCCTAGGGGCATTCAAAGTTTTTTTGGGGCGAAGGGGGACCCCCTTAGATTTTCATAAAAACTTATCCATGTGTACAGTTTTGGACGCTGATTCCAATGGTGAAGTCTGTTTTTCGCCACATATTATACTTTGGCCCCTAGATGCATTCAAAGTTTTTGGGGGCGAAGGGGGACCCCCTTAGATTTTCATAAAAACTGGTCCATGTGTACAGTTTGGGACGCTGATTCCCATGGTGAAGTCTGTTTTTCGCCACATATTATACTTTGGCCCCTAGAGGCATTCAAAGTTTTTTGGGGCGAAGGGGGATCCCCTTAGATTTTCATAAAAACTGGTCCATGTGTACAGTTTTGGACGCTGATTCCCATGGTGAAGTCTGTTTTTCGCCACATATTATACTTTGGCCCCTAGAGGCATTCAGATTCACTTTCAGAATCACATTCGGACCCCCTTAGATTTTCATAAAAACTGGTCCATGGGTACAGTTTTGGACGCTGATTCCAATGGCGAAGTCTGTTTTTCGCCACATATTATACTTTGGCCCCTAGAGGCATTCAAAGTTTTTTTGGGGCGAAGGGGGACCCCCTTAGATTTTCATAAAAACTGGTCCATGTGTACAGTTTTGGACGCTGATTCCAACGGTGAAGTCTGTTTTTCGCCACATATTATACTTTGGCCCCTAGAGGCATTCAAAGTTTTTTTGGGGCGAAGGGCGGACCCCCTTAGATTTTCATAAAAACTGGTCCATGTGTACAGTTTTGGACGCTGATTCCAACGGTGAAGTCTGTTTTACTCCACATATTAGACTTTGGCCCCTAGAGGCATTCAAAGTTTTTTTGGGGAAGGGGCCCCCCTTAGATTTTCATAAAAACTTGTCCATGTGTACAGTTTTGGACGCTGATTCCAATGGTGAAGTCTGTTTTTCGCCACATA